GCTTGTTTTGCTCAGCTCTTTGTGTGAGTCATTCATTTTGTCGTTGTTGGCATATTGCAGTAGTTCATTTTCATTGCTCTGTGATATTCTTTTGATGACTGTTAAAGCAATCTGTTTATCCATTTTTATCATTGGGGAACATCTGAGGTTGGGACTATTAAGAGTAACTTGTGGGGGAGCCTGGGTGGCTCAGTCGTTAAGCGTCTGCCTTCGGCTCAGGTCATGATCCCAGGGTCCTGGGATCAAGTCCCGCATAGGGCTCCCTGCTCGGCAGGAAGCCTGCTTCTCCCTGTCCTACTCCCCCTGCTTGTGTTCCCTCTCTTGCTATCTCTCTCTCTGTCAAATAAATAGATAAAATCTTTAAAAAAAAAAAAAAAAGAGTAATTTGTGAACACTCTTAACACACATCTTTTGGTATAGGTGTGCATTTCTTCTGGATGGTAGTGCTGTGTCATGAGATAACTTAGGTTTAGCTTTAATAAATACTGCCAAAAGTTGCCTGTGGTGGTTTCCAGCTTATACTCTTACCATTATGAATGCCTTTTGGGGTTCATAGTGCTTCTTTTTTTTTTTTAATTGTTTAACCAATTTATGATTTATATTTTATGAATGCTTTATTTTTTTAAAAAATTTTATTTATCTGACAGAGAGAGACAGCGAGAGAGGGAACACAAGTAGGGGGAGTGAGAGAGGGAGAAGCAGGCTCCCCGCAGAGCAGGGAGCCCGATGCAGGGCTCGATCCCAGGACCCTGGGATCATGACCTGAGCGGAAGGCAGACGCTTAATGGCTGAGCCACCCAGGTGCCCTCATGGTGCTTCTTGAATCTATGGCTTGATGACTTTGATCAGTTTTGGAATATTTGGTCATTGTCTCTTTAGCTATTGCTTCTGTCCCTTTCTCGCTCATTTGGAACTCCAGATAGAACGATGATAACTCTTTTTACCATGTCTCTTTAGCTCTTACATTCTCTTCTGCCTCTTCGCATCTTTTTATCTCTCTATTCTTAGCTCTAAACGTTTTCTTCTGACCTATCTTCCACTTCAGTAATTCTTTTTTTTTTTTAAGATTTGTTTATTTATTTTAGAGAGAAAGGGGGTTGGGGCAGAGGGAGAGAGAGAATCTCAAGCAAACTCTACACTGAGCGCAGAGCCCAGCGTGGGGCTCAATCTCACGACCCTGAGATCATGACCTGAGCCAACACCGAGAGTCAGACACTTAACTGACTAGCCACCCAGGCACCCCCCACTTCAGTAACTTACATTGTGTCTAATCCGCTGTCAAACCCATTCATTAAGTTCTTAATTTCATTTATTGTGGGTTTTTTTTTTCAGTTCTAGAATTTCCATTTGGTTATTTCATATTTTCCAGTTCTCTGCCAGGATTCTCTGTCTTGTCATTTAATTTCTTTTAACATATTAATCATAGTTATTTTAAAAAATTTGCATCTGATGTTCTGTTTTCTGGATCTGTTGTGGTTTGTATCTTTGACTTTTTTCCCCCTCTTGCTTTGGAGGATTTTGTCTTTTTTGTATGCTTTATTTTTTATTTGGTTTTGGAAAATATAGATGAAAAATTACAGTGATTACATCATCCAGAGCCTTATATATCTTTTTTTGCCCTTGGCAGGCAGTTAGGCTAAGATTGCCTTAATCCAACCAAGGACTGAACTGATTAAAAGCTAGGCTTCAGTCCTTAGGAGGGCCAGTATATTTTTGGGCTCTCCTGACTCCTAGAGCATAGCCCTTTGAGGTTACAGCCAAAAGCCTAAAGTGTTTTCCTCAGCCCCCTCCTAGTCTTAATGAGACTGCTGAAAATTCTGCTCAGACTCTCAGGAGCAGCTTTCAAGTTAGCAAACATCTCAAGGGAGAAAATGTCACCAAATGTCAGTCTTACCTCCTTGCATTTCCCATTTCTCGATGATTTTTGGCTTCGAAATCCTTTTGCCTTGATAAGCTCTTTAGTGCTTTCAAATATATGTTCTTAATATTGTATTCAGTTTTCACAGCTGTTGTTAGTAGGAGGGCTGGTTTAAAACAGTCTAGTCCACGATTGCTTTATGCTTGGCTTATTCTTTCAAAATCTGAGATTATACTAAGTAAAATCAGCCAGTTGCAAGAAGACAAATACTATATGATTCCACTTATATGAGATATCTGAAGAAGTCAAATTTATGAAAACAAAAGTAGAATGATGGTTACCAGGGACTTCAGGTCTGTGGTTTAGGTTTATTCTTGGTTGTATGTTCTTTACCATTGTGTGTGTGTGTGCGCTTGCACACACACACTTTTTTTTAACTGAGCTCATCAGGTAAATTTTTTTTTAGCCATGTTGGTTTCTTTAGGTAGCTCCATTTAGAAAATTGGATATGTACTACAAGTCAGAAGTTCAGTGAAGTAGCATTATATGCATGTCTAATAAAGATTTAACTTTGGGGCACCTGGGTGGCTCAGTTGGTTAAGCATCCAACTCTTGATTTCAGCTCAGGTCGTGATCTCAAGGTCATGAGCCCCATATCAAGCCCTGCATCAGGCTCTGCACTTGGTGGGTGTCTACTTGAGATTCTCTCCCTCCCTCTCTCTGTCTGCCCCCCCCCCGCTTGCACACATGTGTGTGCTCTCTCTTAAATAATAAATAAATAAATCTTTAGGAAAAAAAGATTTAACTTTATATGTTTAGGGGAAAAGAAAGAAAGAAGGAATGAGAAAAAATGGAAGGAAGGATAAAATTAGTCATTTAAATAATGGGAAAGCAAAATAGCAATCCAAATAGTGGGAATAGTTCTTCTCAATTAGCTGATACCCCAGAGTGAGCATTAGGGAAAGCTCTGAGTTTGTTGTTCCTTCACCTGCCTGTGTTGAATTCATTGAAAATAATTCCTCCCTGAGGAAGTTTCAAGGGTAATATTGATTACATACAATTTTTACTTTACCTGCTAACCTTAGATTCCCAACCTGTGTTTAAGCTTTAGCTTCAGTACAAAGAAAAGAAAATAATATCCTTTTTATTTCCCATTGGCATTATTCATACTGTTATAATCTAAATTTTATTTCTTTTATATTTTCTTTTACAGATGATATTACCTTTTAAAGTCTTTGGCCTCTAGGACAAATCTATCTTTTCCATGTTCTTTTGAACATGTGTACTATATCTAGCATTGCTTTCCTTCAGCATTAACACAATCCAAGATGCATAGTCACTTTCAGAGTTTCCACCTTCTATCATCAATAAAATAAAAATAAATCCAGAGTTGCAGTATATCTCCCTCATTATAACTACATCTTACTTCTCTTTCAGTTTTGTAATGCATGTTAGGATAAGATGGCCAGGGTTTTTGTCTGGTCAGATGGTCTGTACTGTATTTATAGAACAGTATCATATACACCTACTTGTATCCCTGACAAGAGTTACTGACAAGCAGTAAATTAAAAATAGCAGGTAGCAGCTTACAAGGCAGAGGAGGGGGGAATCTACCTTCTTATAAGAGCAAATTAAATCTCTAAGGAGTTAAAAGCAATTAAAATGTTCTCTTTAATCTCCTCGTCTGTGCTGTTTCATGATTAGAACAGGCATCCCAAAAGTGTGAAAACCACAGAATTCAATATATTGAGTACAGTTATTACCTCTAGCTTATATAGTTCTCTTTTATATGTAGCTTATATATATCATCAAGGGCCTTGCCATTTGAGAAGGATACAAGAGCAGATGTATGTTCTTTATAAAGGATATAGGGAGTGGCTAATTATTTCATAGAGTAAAATATGAATGCTACCAAATAACAGAACTTAACCATTTGACACTTAAAAGTAGAGAGAAGTACGCTAAGGTCAGTATGTGATACTTGGCCAAATGGTACTGTGGTAACTGACTTCTAGAAACCCAAAGTCAAATGCCTTGCTCTCTGGCTACAGTGGAAGTAGTATCTAAGGAACAAAGGGCATCAGCCTGTTTTAAGCTAGTCATGTCAGAGAGGAAAATTATTTTCACTATGCTTCCATTTATTGTTAGTTTAGCAAATTTTTGGTATGCCTTTTGTTGAAAGCACCATGCTAGGTTCTCTGCCAGAGTAGTTGTTGAATAGTTAAAGGTGGTCCTAGTTCTCTGCCCACACTGGCTTGACTTAAATTCCTTGTCCCATCTACCTAGCTACTGCTACTCTTTGCTATCCAAGACTCAGCCCTGATGCCTCTCTTCCTCATTGAAACTTATTTGTGTGTTATAACCTGTTCTTCCTTGGTAGCCTCTCGTGCGGTCTAATGTGTCTGCTCAGAAATTCTTCTTAAAATTAATCTGGGCTCACAGTGGAAAGATACAGCCATGAGGCAACATGCTTTTTTAACAGTGACTGTCGAGCATCATATTTCTCCTGTCCTTATCTTTCTTTCCTCCCCCTCCCAACTTTAAAAAATCCTGTCAATGATTCCAGTGATGAGAATTTCAGGTTAGAAAGGTAGGAAGGTGGGGCACCTGGGTGGCTCAGTCGGTTGAGCGGCTGCCTTCGGCTCGGGTCGTGATCCCGGAGTCCTGGGATCGAGCCCCGCATCGGGCTCCCTGCTCGGCAGGGAGCCTGCTTCTCCCTCTCCCTCTGCCTGCCTCTCTGCCTACTTGTGCTTTCTCTCTCTCTCTGTCAAATAAATAAATAAAAAATCTTAAGAAAGGTAGGAAGGTGATGATGAGGGGGGTTTTGGAAGAATGATCATGTCCTTGAAGTGTCCCTCAAATGATATCTTACTGGTGATAATCTAGCCAACCCACATGCTGTGGGGTCTTCGTGAATGTAGGGAGTAAGGAACCTGAATGTTGATGGAACATACAGTTTTTCACAGCTGATGCTAGTAAGTTTTTCTTTTTAAAACCACGTCGTTCCTCTTGTAACGTAGGTGTTTATCCATCAGTGTTAGAACTACTGTTCTTTTGCACAGACGGTGACAAATACTTTGTGTGGCACCATCTGGCTATTATATTTACTTTTGTCTTATATGTATCTTTTTTTTTCCCCCAGGCTGCCAGTACACCACTGAATCCTTTAAGTTTTCAGTGTGAATTTGTAAAACTCAGGATTGACCTTCTACAAGCCTTCTCTCAACTTATCTGTACTTGTAATAGCCTCAAGACAAGCCCCCCACCTGCAATTGCCACAACAATTGCCATGACCTTAGGGAATGACCTTCAGAGGTGTGGTCGCATCTCCAATCAGGTGTGTCTTCACTTGATTTTCAGTGCAGTTTTTATTTACACTTTAGAGGTTTTTGAGGTTAGTTGTGAGATGAAAAATTCTGAAATTTAAAAATCAGCTGTTTGACTAATGGACATTAACCATCAAATGCTTAACTCATCTGTCTTGCCAAAAATAGGCTGATGTTTTATTAGAATGACAAAGTGACTGATGATGTCTCACTAGATTCTACATATTTATAACTGTATTAATTGTTTTAGTGGAACTTGAAGCTAACAAAGCAATGCTTTTTGTTTCTGCGTGTCATATGTATTATTATTGTAATTGTGTAAACATTTAGAATTTCATTTACCATCTTTGTTCATTTTATTTAACAAGGTTTATAAGCATGAATGGAATGGAAATGAAAAGGGTTGAACTACTTTTTGGATTTGATTGAGGATAGGTTTTTTTTATGTTTTGGTTTTTGTGGTATATCATTGTACAATAATGATAGCATCTTCCTTGTAATTGATCCTTCTCCTTCTTTTTAGATGAAACAGTCCATGGAAGAATTCCGAAGCCTTGCTTCCCGATATGGGGATCTTTATCAGGCATCTTTTGATGCTGATTCCGCAACATTGAGGAATGTGGAACTGTATCCTAAGCTGCTTCAGTAGTTCTTGTTCTTTGGAAGTATTCTTTTAAACTTAGAGTAAATGCTTTAGATATGCTTAACTAAAAATATGTATATTTAGATTAGCCTACAAATTTATTATAATTAATAACTTCTCTTTTGAAATCTACTGTGAGCAGTATAATTTTACTTTTTAACTTCAACGAGGCTTAAAAAAAAAAAGTAGTGACTCAGTGGTGGTCTTTCTCCACCACTAGGAAGAGCATCCAAAACCCAGGTCCAACCAGTGTTGCATACTTTGTGTTCACTTGAGCTACAGTGGAGAAGGCAACACATTTTCCCATCAGAAAACCATTTTCTTCTTGTGTTACCTCTGTCTTCTTCATGGTGTAAACCCTGGTTCCCATCACCTTTATTAGTGATCTGTAGTTTTAGTCATCACTTTGGTTCCCTAAGTCCTCTTTGAGTTCTCCATATTTAATTAGCAGCCTCAAATCCTTTTTGAAAGGAAGGAAGAGATATATTGTTTTTAAGTTGTGGGACCTATAAATCAGTAGTGCTTGGCATTTTGGTTTTCTAAGTAAAAACCTATGAATGCTATGGACGCTTTCCTCTACAAAATGCATTTATGCACACACCCGGCAGATTTTCATAGTCCCAGGAGGGTTACCAGATCCCTTGAGCCCCAGCTTCAGAACCTCTGGAGTAACTACAGACCATTTTTGGTGTTGCTTTTAACTTTTATCACCGAAACTCCTACATCTAAGCAGAAGAGAACAGTTTCTGTGATTGAATCACAGAGCCTGCTGTTTGGTTCCCCCTTCCCACATTAGGCAGCCACTGAAGTACTATTCCTGGAGCAGAATTTAAGAATCACTATTATAAACAACATAAAAAAAAAAATGAAATCTTAAACCACTTGATTTGATAACATATGGTTACCTTAACTAAAAATATAATCCTCATCTTGACTTGATATTCAGGTAATACAAAGTCTACATGGATTTCTCTATTTTCATGTAAAACCTTAACATTAATCCAGACAGCAGCAGAGCTGTTTACTGATATCTCATGCAATAGAAGCCCTGATTTTGGATCCAGAATCAGCAAGGTATTTCTAATAATAGTTTACATTAAGGTACATTTTCCAGTGTTGTCTTACCTAATCATCACAACATGTGTTTTGGAAGAGGTGTTACATGTGTTTTGGAAGAGGTATTATGGAAGAACAAACAGAGAAGGACTTTGTTAGTATTTGCCTGAGTTCACACACCTAGTGACAAAACTTGCTTTTTCTGACTCCATTGTTTATTTACTTCTGCCTATTTTTTTTTTTTTAAAGACTTATTTATTTTAGAGGGGAGAGGGAGAACTCCCCACCAAGTGCGGAGCCGAGGCGGGGCTCGATCTCAGGACTCTGAGATCATGACCTGAGCTGAAATCAAGAGTAGGACGCTTGGGCCCCTGGGTGACTCAGTCGTTAAGCGTCTGCCTTCAGCTCAGGTCATGATCCCAGGGTCCTGGGATCGAGTCCCACAT